CTCTTTTTTGTAGAAAAAAATGGGACGTGAGTTGACTTTCCATGAAGGAAGCGGGGAGAGCCTTCAGCCTCTGAAAAGGAAGATCCAAAACAGGACGGCGCGAGGAAGACGTGTCAGGACGTACAGACTTCCCTGTTTCGAAGTCATCCGTTTCTCGGCAATGCTCCCATGAGTCAGCTGCCTTTGCTAGAGTCTGTATTCCTTACTGGGAGGGGGGCCACGGGGTCACTGTCAAAGGATAGTCTCTCGGCAGACTCCGATTAAACTGTGCGGCCTGCCCCGCTCTAGACTGTGCCGGATGTGGGCCCGACGAAGGAAGGCAACGGGCGAGCTCAACGCTCCACAGCTCTGAAGGTGGAGGTCTTCCTGCAGCCGCTTACGTGAGGTGTCCACATTTTGCTGGGAGCTCGTGATGACCTGTGGGAAACAGGAGGGAGAGGAGAAGAACCTACTCTTAGCATGAAAACGTTGGGGTGCACATCAGGATCATAAAATCATAGAGTTGGACGGGGCCATAGAGACCATCTCATCCAACCCCCTGCCCAATGCAGGACCCGCCTAAAGCATCCCTGACAAATATTCGTCCAGCCTCTTCTCGAAAGCTGCCAGTGAAGGGGAGCTCACCACCTCCCTGGGCAGCTGATCCCACCTTTGAACCACTCTGACCCTGAAAAAGTGTTTCCTGATCTCCAGCCGATACTTTTCTGCATGCAATTTAAACCCGTTGCATTGGGTCCTCTCCTCTGCTGCCGACTGGAACGGCTCCTTGCCCCTCCTCCAAAGGACAGCCTTTCAAATATTTAAAGAGACCAATCATGTCCCCCCCTCGATCTCCTGTTCTCCAGACTAAACATTCCCAAGGCCCTTAAGCCTTTCCTCGCAGGGCTCAGTCTCCAGACCCCCGATCACCCTCGTTGCTCTCTTCTGCACCCTCTCGATTTTGCCCACATCCTTTTTGAAGTGAGGCCTCCAGAACTGCACACGGTACTCAAGGTGCGGCCTGACCAAGGCAGTATACAGAGGGGCTCTGACCTCCTGCGATTTCGGTGCTGTGGCCCTTTTAATACAACCCAATCTGCCTTTTTTGCCACCGCATCACACTGACTGCTCATATTTAGTTTACAGTCCACTCTGACCCCAAGATCTCCTTCGCATGCACTACTCCCCAGAAACGTATCCCCCATCCAGTATTAGTGCATGACATTTTTGTGGCCCAGATGTAATGCTGTGCATTTATCTTTGTTGAACTGCATCCCGTTCGCAATTGCCCACTTCTCCAGAGTATTCAGCTATTGTTGAATTTTAACTCTGTCTTCTTGGGTGTCTGCTACTCCTCCCAATTTGGTATCATCAGCCAATTTAATGAGTAGCCCTTCTACCCCTTCATCCAGATCACTGATAAAAATATTGAAAAGCACCGGGCCCAAAACCGAGCCCTGCGGCACCCCGCTGGACGCCTCCCTCCAATGTGATGAAACGCCACTGACCTCCACTCTTTGGGTGCGGTCCTCTGACCAGTTCCCTATCCACCGAACTGTCCTATAGTCCAGTCCACGGTCTTCCAGTTGCCCATCAGAATGTCATAAGGAACCTTACCAAAAGCTTTACTGAAATCCAGGTAAATCTTCAAAGCCCTTCATCTGCATCAGGGGTCCCCCCTACCGTTTAGAGCCTGCGGCACATTTGGAATTCCGACACAGCTTTTTTTTTGGGTTTTTGGGGGGGGGCGCAATGACAAAATGGCTGCCACAAAATGGCTGCTGCAGGAGGCGGGGCCTGCCCATAGATGGCCGCTGCAGAGCTTACCTTCGGTCACACAGTGACGAAAGATCCTTGTGCTCTGATGGCAGCCACTACCGAAACAACTTTTTAAATAAATCCGCACAGCCAATCAAAATCTTCAGTATCTAATCAGAAGCCTTGCTGGTCAAAAGCCCTCCCTGGCCCACCCGATTTCTAAAAACACTGGGAAACCAGGAAAGGTGTCAGTGGGCACGGTAGCGCCCCCAGATGCCATAAAATAATAATAATAATAATGCTTTCGATTTATTAATCGCTTTCCCCACAAGTGGGCTCAAAGTGATTTACAGTTACTCTTTAGACAGGGGACTAACAATGTTTTTCATAGGGGATAGGGAAGACAACATATAATTCATTTAAGTTGCACACGCTGTACTGCCCGGTGGAAACGTTTCTGGCTTGACCCAGTCATGTTCCGAACAGCTGCATCGCCACACTGCCGCCGCCTGGCCGGAGCATCCCACTACAGGGATTTTTCTTAGCTGAGTAGATTCTTCCACCTTCCGGGTCCAGACCAGGACATCTCCAACCGAGAGCTAACACCTTCCCAGAAGGGAGTCGGTTGGGGACCCCAATCTACATAATTAAACAATTACGCCAACTACCCTAATAAAGTCTTGCATGTCAGTGGCCCCAGGGCCAAGGTCAAGCAGACACTATCCAGCTAGATGATCCAGTTCCAATGCAAGCAGCTACAGATATCTGGCAGTCAAGGGATATTTTCCCCCCACTGCTACAGCTCCCCAAAGGGTGAAATAGCTCTACACCATATGAAAGATTTGCCGAGATAATGGGCATACGGGGTGGTGGAACTGGACTTTTGTAGTGAAGGACTCAGAGAGAGACAATAGAGATGACTCTGCAGCTGCAAAATGCTAACTGCAGGCTTGGGCATCCTCCATTTGCCTTGTGGCCGTGCAGGAAAACGAGAGGGAAGTTTAACCCTCAAACCGTCACTCCGAGAAATCTCTGTTAAATAGCAACATCCGCGTGGGTGCTGAAGCATTTATTTTTATTTATTTATAGCAACATTTATACCTTGCCTTTCCTCAAGTTTCAAGGTGACTTGCATATCTTGTGCCATCAAGTTATTTTCGACTTATAGCGAGCCTCTAAATTAATGACCTCCAAAGCCTCCTGTCGTGAACAGTCCTGCTCAAGTCTTGCAAACTGAGGTTCGTTGGCTTCTTTCATTGAGTCCATCCATCTCGTGTCGGGTCTTTCTCTTTTCTTGCTGCCTTCGGCTTTTCCTAGCATGATTAACTTCTCCAGTGGTCTTCTTGACGTTCAGCTGTAATCCCCCTTCGGCGCTTTCTGCTTCAACCTCCATCAGTAGTCGTTCCAAGTCTTCACCGCTTTCTGGCAGTAATGCAGTGGTTTACCAAAGGATTGAAGTCCCTCTCCCTCCCCTGCACAGCCTCAAGGCAAACCGAGGCGGTGATTTGCGTGTTGTGGACAGAACGAGCCTCGTGATACTTATCCTGCCTGTTAAGAGCTCTTTTTCAGGATTTGAACCCACCCCCCATTCAGGTTGCCATCACCCTGTTTTACACACAGAGGTATCTTTGACTTGTAGAAGAAGAAGAGAAAAGATTGGATTTATACTCCGCCCTTCACTTGGAGTCTCAGAGCGGCTTACAAAATCCTCTCCCTTCCCCTCCCCGCAACAGACACCCTGTGAGGTGGGTGGGGCTGAGAGAGCTCTGACAGAAACTGCTCTTTTTCAAGGACAGCTGTGCCAGAGCTTGTGACTGACCCAAGGTCACATCAGCAGGTCCATCAAACCCGGTTCTCCCAGATTAGAGTCCGCACACTTAACCACGACACCAAACTGGCTCTCAGCCTCTGGAGACTTAAGTGATGATAGCAGTTTCACACAACCACCGTAACACCAGAGGACAACCGATTGCAAAATGAACAACAGAGGATACCTCTTGTTGGTTTTACCAACGAACAAAGCTGCCCATATTCAGTGAGTTCACGGTCTTGGGCCCAGGTTTCACATGCAGGGGCGTCTTCATGTGACCAGAAGGGAACGACGGTCACTTTTTCCTTTTATTCTTTTAGAAGCTCATTGATTGACAAATCTTGAGCAGCAGAAGATTCTCATTCCTCATAGAACCATAGAGTTGGAAGGGACCTCCAGGGTCATCTAGTCCACCCCTCTGCACAAGGCAGGGATTCACAACTACCTCCCCCCTGCACCCCAAGTGACCCCTGTTCCATGCCCAGAAGGTGACAAAAAACCTCCAAGATCCCCGGCTAAACTGGTCCGGAGAAAAATTGCTTCCTGACCCCAAAGTGGCAATCGGCATTTCCCTGGACGCGTAAGAAAGGGCCACGAGAACTCAGCACTGAGG